AGCGCTCGGCTTTGCTCGTCTTGCCGTCGTCGTCGCGCAGCTTGGTGCGCATCGCCTCGAGGCTCGCGTAGGTCCACGCGAGGTGCACGTCGTACGACATCGCAAAGACGGCGATGTACGACGCCGGCGCGTAGTCCCACCCAAAGCACGGGTTGAAGTGCCCCACGTAGACCCGCGCCGGGTGGTCCCACACCTGGGACCGGTCGTAACAGACCGTGACAATCCAGCACACGATTAGCGTCAGCACCACGAGCTCGTTGCTCGCGGCAAAGTAGGCCTTCGGAGATACGACGCCTTGAGGGGGCGTCATGAACAGCCGATACAGCGCGAAGCGACTCCTCGAGAGGGCGTCGTGAGCGGGCGTCATCACCAGCTTGCACGTCGTCTGCGGCAGGAGGGTGTCGTCGTTGGAGGCGGGAGCGCCGCCCGTCGGTCGCAGCGCATCGCCCTCCAACGCCTCTCGGAGGACCTCCTCTTCGGCGTGTTCGTCTGCTGGCGCCACAATGGCGGTCGGCATCTCCTGCACGGCGCGCTCAAGGCCGCGCACCTCGAAGGAGCAAAGAGTGGAAGGCGCCGAAATTCGGTTTCGGGAGATGATGCACACAACCACCGCGGATATCCGCTCGGCCGAGGTAGCAGTGGCCCAGGCAGCCCTTCGCCGTGCCGCCACGGGCGGTTGCGCGGCGGTTCGAGTGCCTCGAGACGACTCGAAAACGATCTGTGTCGTCCGATTTCGCGTCGCGATCGACCGTCTCCCTGTGCGGCTCTCTCAGCGTGTCGTCGAGCAGAGGCGGCCGAGCGCATCCGAGAAACCGCCCTCTCGCGCTCGAGAGGCGCCACCGCCGGCCCAACCGTGCTGTGCCGGTCGGCTGCGGCGCCGGAGACACCGGGAGCGCCTCACGAGCGGCGCGCACGACCCGTGCGCCTCTTCTCGCGTGCCGTCACCCCTTCTCGCTCGCCTCGCCGCGCCACCTTCTGCTGCTGCAATGGCAAGATCGGCTGTTGACGGGATCCGCCGCCGGCGGGCCCTCCAGTGTGCTCGCCGTGTGCTCGCCGTTCGTGCGAGCTCGAGGCGCCGCCCTTTTTCGTGCCGGCCGTGTGTCACCTCTGCTCGCGTGCACCAGTCGTACACATGTAATCTGAGAGGAGTGCGTGGCGGTGCGCGAAGGCTTTTTGGTGACGTAAAGAGCAAACCGGCTTCCGAATCCACACCTCGCCGACGGCACGCCCAGTTGTATGCTCGACTACGCATGCATGCCGTGGTGAGAGAGAGACCGAGATACGGCTCCGGTTGTCGTGGTATGTGGCGTGGCGGTGGTTTGCGAAACAAAACGGATGCGAGGATGCACGCAGAGCGCGACACGGGCCTCGCGTCCGAGCGCAAGTCGACGAGTGGGAGCCGAGATCACTGCTCGTGGTGCGCACACGCCGCGCAGCTGCGGGTTGTAACTCGATTGACAATCGCGCGTGCGGGATGAAAATGGAGCCGATTGGCGCTAGTGCACGGCGGCACTACCTAGTGCCTCTGGGGGAAAGGAGGAGGAGCCCTCAATAGACGGACTGAGATCGCTGGGCTGGATCCATATGGGGGTGCCGCACAACCTGAAGCGGAGGCACCCGTGTATACTCCACACCTCTCCGCGCCGAAGTATTGAGCCACCGCGGTCAACAGCATGCAGCACATGAGGGGATCGCATGCTGCGGACGGATACGCGTGCCGAGTCGATGCGCCCGTGGATGATGCACTGCGCGGCTGCGAGCGGAGCGGCGCGCCTAGCGCGAGCGTGCGCAGAGTTGGGATGGAGAGCTCTCGCGTCGCGATCTCAGGGTCGCGAGGGGTCGGCCTAAGCTACCTGCACGCGCCGCGAGCCCGGAGGCTGCACGAGAACCCGCGCGGCGAGATGTCTGGAGCCCGGAGCGCCGGCGGCTCGACGAGCCGCTCGCGGCGATGCGCCGTGTGGGAGGACGAAGTGGCCAGGAGCGCGCTCCTTTGAGGGCTTAGCTAGGGGTAGCGAGCTGCCCCTGTCGGCGCGAGGCGGTGCCGCGGCGGTGCGCGTGGAGCGCAGGCCAGCGAAACCTGCAATCGGCGATTGCAGGTTTGGGCCACTGCGAGCGCTCGCACGCGGTGGCAAGAGTAAATAAACCAACAAAAAAACAAATCGAGTTGGCGTTAACACGGAAAAGAAAAGCGCCTGGAGCCCAAGGCCCCGCTCCTCTGCTGACGATCGAGAGGCTGACGCCGTGGCCGCCTCGCCGCTCACGAGGCTGACGCCGGACTCGTGCAACCGGCGCGGCGCCGTATGACAATCCTGCTGAAACAGCTCCACCTGTGGTTCGGCGATGTGTGCCGCCACATCGAGGGGGAGGAGGAGGCGAAGCGCCTCTACTCCAAGCTTTCGAACACGTCCCACCCGAGGATCAAGGGCGACGCGCTGCGCTCGCGCTGTGCTCAGCAGGCGACCAACAGTGTGTGGGGCAAGCCCGACCCTGCTCTGAGCCGGTTCCAGAACGACGCTTTGGTCGCGGCGCGCGTGCTCGCCTTCCTCAACTCGAAGAGGCTCCCGGTGACCGCTGTGAGAGCCACGCTTCTGGCACACCAGATCACGGACGCCGCCTCGCTCAGCCAGCGGGAGTGTGCCCAGCGGCTCTTCGACCACTGGACGCAGCCGCAGTCGCCGCCCTGCCCCGTCTGCGCTGCAAACGCCGCGCGTGGCTCTGTCGCAACCCGCTCTCCTCAGCGTGCAGGAGTGGGCACCGGAAGGGAGGGGAGTGACGGCGGCGGCGGCGGCTCGCTGCGGCGGCGGCCGCGGCGGTGGTGGTATTGGCGGCAGAGATGGCAGCCTTGCCCGCGTCCATGGGCGATCCGTCTGCTGGCTCCACTGCATCGCCGACGATGCTCGTGCACTGGCATCCACAGCCGATCGTCATCAGACAATGAGGTCGAGAACCGCATCGGCGGCCTCAGCAGCGTCTGCAGAGAGCCGATCAGACTCGGGTCCACGGTGAATGTCAGGTCTGCACTAGGCTCACACACAAGTCAAGGTAGATCTAAATACCGGGGGAGGTATTTCCTATGCTTCACAGCCTTGTTATTGAGAAGAAAATACGTCCTACTTCACACCTGGCGGACGGGACTGCGCACACCGTGGCGCACACCGTGGCGCACAAAGAAACGTGAACAGGCCCCACTGCCACTCACCTTGGGTGGTGCAGGTTAGGACTTCCGCGGCGCCGCTCTGGGCGGCGGGCTGAGCCGATCGTAGCGGCGAGCCTCGGTCGAACGATGCATGAGGCCCGTCACGGACAGCCGCTGAGCAGTGAGCTCCTTCTGCTCGTGGGCGCCGGCGAGGGCACGCCTGTGCTGCCGGCATCGGGCGAGCAGCAGCGGCGCCCGATCGGCGTGGTCCTGGCGGACGAAGCCTCTTCCGTGGCCGCAAAGCCGGCCGCCGGCTCACGCTGGTGCTTCTCCGACGCGGTCGAGTCCGACCCGGCCGGCCGCGACTTTGCGCGCTCCACCGACTGCTGCACGCTCCGCTGGACGCCTGCAAAGGGCCGTCACGCCACTGCGACCCGCGAGATCTCGCGTGGACGCGTGCTTCTGCGGGCCTCGGCTGCGGCAGCCCCCAACACGGCTGCGAGCGGCGCGGCGACCGCCCTCCTCGCGGAGTTGTCGGGGCGCGCACGCCCTGGCGGACTCTGTGGACGCCCCACTTTGTCTTGATTGATTCTGTTACGCTTCGTTCTTTTTACTCGATGCTTTGTCTGTCGGGTTCCTCCGTCTGTCTCAATTGGTCGTCCGGGTTTCTTCTTCCTTTTCCC